ACTGACAGGCCAAGAGAATGACTTAGAAAAGGATGTTTCACTGGATCTACAAAAGAAATTGTCTGAGGCTTTAAAATTTAAAATGACAAGAGTGACCTGGATAATTTTTTCCTACTAGATTTACAAAAGAGGCTTTGTTAAAGTGTTGAAGAACTCCGTGCTATGGAACAAAGAAGAAATCAAGAGAAATCAAATCCTATGACAATATTTGAATGAACTAAAGATTAAGACAGTTAGAAGTAAAAGGAAGGAATGTAAAATTGGTTTATTTGATCAAGGTTGAAACAAGATATGTTGTTACTTCTGGCTACCTTTAAATTCTTTTGGCTTACACACGGACTGAAAATATGATGTTTTATGGATTTGTTTATAGATAAGATATGGGATATGGGATGAAGAGATAAATGTTTGTAACCTTAGAGGGGGCGAGGAGTCACTAAATTTGTTTATTCTTGTTGTGATGAAGGTTGGAAGTCACTTCTTTACAGTACATATTTATTTTCTCTTTCATTTTTGTAGTCCTACTTTTCTCTTTCTTTGTCTTTTTTTCTTGCACTTTTTACTCCTTTCTACTCTCTTTTCTTTCTTTAAGTTTAGTTTGTATTAGATTTTACTATTATAATCAAAATTCTTAATAAAAAAGAGAAGGTAGTAAGAACAGCTATAGAGGGTCCTAGAGGAAACAGATTATTGGGATCGTTTTACTCTCTTTTCTTTCTTTAAGTTTAGTTTGTATTAGATTTTACTATTATAATCAAAATTCTTAATAAAAAAGAGAAGGTAGTAGGAACAGCTATAGAGGGTCCTAGAGGAAACAGATTATTGGGATCGTTTTCAGTCAGGATTCAAGCCCAGCCATGGAGCAGAAATGGCATTGACCACTCTAGTAGCTTACCTTTGATGAGGGAGTATCCCCTCTTAATTCTGTTAGACTTCTCAGCAACATTCAATATCATCAACCACAGTATTCTTCTAGACTACCAACAAAAGTTGGAAGTAAGAGGCTTCATTTTACAGTGGTTAGGCTCCTGCCTGAGTGAGTGATTCTCGTCAGTGTTCTTGAGGGGTGGGGAGCACTTGAATCCATCGGAGCAGCAGTGTAAGGTTACACAGGGCTCAACCTCTCCTTCATGTTGTTCAGTTTCTACATGAAACTTCTGGGGGATGTCAACTGTAAATTCAGGGTGAGATCCTACCAGTATGCTGATTCCATTCAATAATATACTGGCATCCCAGGCTGAGCCAGAGCTGATGTGGAAGCTTGAACAAGTGTCTGAAAACAGTGATTGAGGATGTGGATGAGGTAAAACAACATTCAGATTAAATCTTACCAAGATGGAGTTGCTAGTAAACATCTGGGTACCCCCATAATATTGGTCCTGCCCGTTACTCTGGACAGTGTTGTACTCTCCCAGTAGAAGGTGGTTTATGACCTAGGAGTCCTTCTAGATTCACAGTTCCTGCTCAAGTGGCAGGTGGAAGCCATGGCTAGGGGGGCCTTCACCCAGCTTGGCTGGTGTATCAGTTGCAACTATAGATGGACCAGGATGCCCTGGCATTAATAATTCATGCCCTAATCACAAGCTGATTGGACTACTGCAGTGCTCTCTATTGGGACTGTCTTTGGATGTGGCCCAGAAGCTGCAAACAGTACAATATTCAGCAAGACAATCCTGTCTATATAGAATAATATTAAAATCACTTCCTTAGTTAGCATTAGGCTTCTGGGATCAGTTCAAAGTGCTTGTTATTTCCTTCAAAGCTATGTGTGGCTCAGCAGTAGGATAAATCAGGCATCACCTTGCCAGGATCCAGTCAGTTCACTTAGAGAAGGGCGGTTGAAAGTCCCCTCCTCCACTCCCCAATGAAGTACATGGGATAAGGACAAGACAATAAGTCTTCTTTGTGGGGGGCCCTATCTTTGGGAACATTCTCCTCCCAGAGATACTTGAGGCCCTTACTTTGCTGACATTCTGAAAATCAGTTAAATCCATTTTATGCCAGTGAGCCTTTGGCAGCTGATTAATTGCTACAGGTCATTGGTCTTGATTTATGTTTTGATTTTATTCCTATATTGTTTTTTCTTTGTTTGTTTTTGCTTTTTGCCCTTGAAGCATATTTCCCAGAATCTCTAGGGACTGAGGCAGATTATAAATATTTTTTTAAAAACAGGAGAGAAAAGAAAAATGAATGGAAGGAAGGAAGGATCCAACAGGATGATAAGAAAGACTAAATACATGCCTGAAAGTTTATAGGAAATTCATAGCACTCTATATCTCAGCCTGCATTGATGATATCTGTTTCCATGATTTGGGGATCTGGAAGTACCTTGAGGGGTCATGTGTAAAGTCATGCAGTCTTCCTTACCAGGAGACCAATCCTGGCCATTGTATGAATCTTACAAGTAAATTGGGATTTGAATTTGGTTTTGTTTGCTAGATCATTCCATCCCACCTACACAGTACAAATATACTTTGTGCATTGATTCTAGAAACCTAGTTGCACAGACAAACCTGCTGACCCACTGAGTGGTGTATGATATAAAACTGTTAGGTACGATGGATTCTTGTCAGATCCTCCTGACTCCAGTGCTCCTTCAAATGCTGCTGCCTTGTGCCCCAGTTTGAATCAATGGATAATGTAAGAAACTCTTTGTCAACTG